TGATGTCCTTTGAAATGATTGATCTGTTGCTATCTGGTGATCCTCCTCTTAATAGAATGCCATTTATCGGTTTCCACTTTGTCTGGATATAGTACTTCTGAAAGTCAGCTTTTCCACCTCAAAAGAATTTTGTTTTATTTTAACCAGAGCTTATAATGTGTTAACATTGTGAAGGACAATGTGACCGGCAGATTAGAATGGTCGATTATTCTGTTGGTTAGATTCTTTTTTTCCAAGTAACCTTGTCAATCCACTCTCTGCATTTGGATATGCTATAGAGAGTCTTTTCCAGTGAATCATTTGTATGTAATTTGTTCAGTTCAATTAGAATTATCGTTCTGTTTGCTTTCATAAAACTCTTATCTCACTTTGTCGTTATCCTGATCAAAATTGTTATAATTGTATCAGTTTCCCATACTAATATCAGATGCTTTTTGTTGTACGATACAAACTGAGAAAAAAGGATATTCACCTAAAAATCTTCTTAGGCATTAAGGTGTTTGATGATTGGACAATTGTTTTTAGAGCACTAGGAACTTTTAAAAGGAAAGGAAGAAAATTGCATGCATCACCTTAAATCTTCAGATGCATAAATTATTATTAACCAACAGAAAGTGGATATTCTGTTTGTAGGCAGAGTTCCTTGAATTTCTGCTTAGGCTATGGTCATATTCAATCATTGACTTGGGTTTCGGGGGAAGTTTGCTAGGATGAGAGATAGGGGCATTGATTCTTGACTTCCCACTTGCCATAGTGGAAATTTTTTGTTTGTTTTAGAACCATGGTATCTAGCACAGCCATTAAGTGGAGCGAGTGGCTGGCTGTATGTCATCAAATGGTTAGGACTAGTAATCCTTGGAGTTTTTTTGTGTGTATTTCCAATGAATGATTGAATATGCTCAAACTACATATTTCGCTCTATATGATCTCCTTGCTAATTTGTATCCCTCTTAAAGTAGCAAAGGATGGAAAAACAACCTTTATCCTAAAGTAGATTTTTTTCCCCTGAAATTTTTTGTTCTGTTGATAACTCCGATAGGGCAGTATGAGATGAATATAGGCTGAGGAGGTTTCTTATTCGGTCGGGAAATTGGGGAGGTTTCTTATTCGGTGAGGAAATTGGTGAAGTGTTTGATGCTTTTTGCTGCCTGGACTAATCTATCTTGGGGTGCTTTCCGTGAACATTTCCTCCTTTAGGTCTCTATAGCCAGCAATATGGTTTGGCATGTACCTCGTGGATTTGCTAAATATACAAAATAGACTTGTGCGTATGGATCCTTAATAGCAATATGGATCCTTAATAGCAATATGGATCCTTAATAGGAATTAGGTCTCTATAGCCAGTAATATTGTTGCTTTTCTATTTGCAAAACCTTATGCTGCTCAACTTTCTGGCTGATATCATGCTTGGTTCTCATGATGCTGTTTTTGTATCTTTATCAGGAGATGTCCCTCGAGTTAATGGGCAGCTGGCAGTTTCTCGTGCTTTTGGGGACAAGAGCCTTAAATCACATTTGAGATCAGATCCAGACATACAAGATACTGACATAAGTAGCAACATAGATATTCTAATACTTGCAAGTGACGGTCTTTGGAAGGTAAATAAATTTTAACATCAAATGTCTTCTCCTTACAATACCGATGGTGCTTACCTAGGAATAAATCCATGAAAATGCCTCTTTTTTGTGTGGTTAAACTAGGTGATGGCTAACCAAGAGGCTGTTGACATTGCAAGAAAGTGCAAAGACCCTCAGAAGGCAGCTAAGCAGTTAACAGCCGAAGCCTTGAAGAGAGACAGTAAAGATGATATATCATGTGTGGTGGTTAGATTTAGGGGATGAAAACTTACATAAACACAATGCTCTTGACATGCGTTATATACTTGAAATAAGAGTTCCTTTACACGGGATGGATATTGGTGAAGTAGAACAACAAAAACAAATACCTGGTCGGTGTGATCCTCTAAATTATGCAGGAATTGGGATTTTGGCCATGAACAGAGGAGGAGAGAGAGTTAACCCCCCTGTAAATTGGTTTTTATTAATTAGGTTTTGGTGTTTGATATTGTTTGATTTCTTTATGAAAGTGAATTAGGAAGCGGATGTATATGTTTTCTTTTGCTACATTGTCACATCTGTGTGCAGATGAAGAATGTGGCTTTGATTGTGATTGGAGATGGTTTTTCTGTCACTGCTTTTTCTTGAATCAGGTTGGTAATGCTTGTTATATCCATCATCATAGTTATTTCTGGTTAACATTCCAGGACACCCAATACATACATATATATATATATATATATGTGCGTGTGTCTGTGCTGGAGAAAGATCCACGAGACGAATTTCAGATTCTTGGGAATGGCTTGCTTATATATAAAAGATTTAGGATGCGTTTTATTGTGATTTGGTAAAACCGTAACGGTTCTTTTTGAGAGGAACCTAACAAATATATACCTTGAAAATTATTGAATAAATTTTACAGTAAGTAGAATATTAGTTATAATAATAACCTACAAAAGTACGAAGTTTAACTTGAAATTTACCCAAAACGTTTTTGTTGTATAGAATTGAATTATAATTTTTATTATTATGTAAATTTTATTTTTATCTTAATTTCACATCTAAAAAATTTTTTTATCAGAAGTAAAATTAATTCAAACATAGAAAATGCTGGCCCAGCTCAGAATGGAAAAGATCGTGGAAATGGAACGCGGCCCAGCTCGCCAGCTAGCGTTAGTCAGTCTGTCTCGCTATAATTCTTTTTAGGGTTTCTTTAGCAGGTACTCCGCCGCCTCCGCCCCCCGCCCTTTAACCCTGCATCTCTATATAAAGTTCCCTAGCATCCTATATTTCGTCTCCATCCTCTTGTTTAAGAGGGTTCATCCTCCTCGTCTCAAATTTTCTTACTGTTTTTATGTTCGGTTGTTAATGGTTTTAGCTTATTAAGTGGTGTTGCTATTAAACACAATTGTCTGCCTCTCCTTTCGGCTGCAAGGGTTGAGATCTATGGATCGATTTCTTGCCGGCTTTGTTCTTGGGGCATATATTAGCTTTCCTGTCCAAAGTGGTTAGGGGAAAACTTTCCCATTCAGAGATCGTTTGCTTCTCTGCCTTCCCTCCCTTTGGGTACATTTTTTCTTCTCCGAAACAAAATTTTGGACCTACTTGAGACCTGGATTCAGTCTTTTCTTCCAAATCTTTGAGTTTCTCTTTGCGGTGTTTGGTTTAACTTTGCATTTTTTTTGGATCTGAAACCGATCAGGGGAAAAAAAAGGCCTTGTTCGAAGAAGAGAAATCGTTCTTTCGCGGCACCTTTCAGCCACAAATCAGCCAGAAAAACCCGAAGCTAATCGTTTACAACCAAACAAAAACATGAAAAAAGAAAGTAATTTCAAGACTTACCTTGAATAAATATAATATAGTTGATTGATTAAAATGGTCTTATAAATTTTTATGAATTTCTTTTTTTTTTTTTTTAACGCAATCCAATATGTATTTATCAATTAGTAGGATTTTTCTTTTGAGTTCGGGTTGGTAGAAAGCACCGACATAGTGGAAGAGCTTAGTGCATGAATCAAATTTGGTTCGACTCCAATTCAATATATGTTTGTATTATATATAAATATTATTATGTAGTAAGCATTGATGCAGTTTTGAAAATTGATGAATTCGATATAAACCGAAAATTAAAATAATTTTTAAAATGAAATATAAGTTGTGAAATTAGAAGAATCAGGTGAAAATTATTTAAGATCAAAACTTTCCTACTTGAAATGCATAATGCCAATTGAGCACAACCACATCCAAACATTCTTCTATTAATTACCCACGGTGGGTTTGTTATGTTTATGGTGGCATGTAATTTATTTTTCAGGCATATATATGTATGTATATATGTAACCTTGTTTAGCAAGTCTCTGCATTGAGTCCATTAAGAAACAGAACAGAAATAATAACTGCATTGAAATAAATATATTACACGTATACATGTATAGACGTGCATTGCATCTGAAGTAAGGAAGTCTCTTGAAAGCTTGCAAGTACTACTAAAAGTATTATCCAAAAGCAGCGTAATGATTTTTTTACGCTTGATGAAAAATTATTTCTTTCTTTCTTTTCGGTGAATTTATAATAATTAAAAAAAAAATGCTTACACGTGGGTTTTTTAGTGGTAAGAATTTTTCAGGTTTGTTAAATTTTTTTTTTTTTTTTTTGTTTTTTCCTCCTACGCGAAACTAATATTATCCATTCTAAAAATTTTACTGATAAAAAGTATATTTTAAAATAAATTAATGACAATGAAAATATACACACGGAATGTAGATTGAACTCACAATTTTTACAGAAATAGATAAAATTACTCAATCAGAGAATACATAATATGTTATCTTTACTCATGACATGTAACGTGGTTTTAATAAATGGGACTGTGAGAGAAACCAGAGCTTTAAATAAAACCTTCTGTTTAAAATACGGAAGACATTGAACTAAGTCCACTTCAATTTAATACGCCCTCCCAACTAACCAGTACTG